CAAAAAAAAAAAAAAAAAAAAAAAACCAAAAAAAAACTGAATGATAATTGATAGAAAATAAAATTCAGGATTCTAAATCTAGGGGAAGGGTCTCAAGAAATTAGCAAACTTATTAAAACTTCATTTTTGGAAAAAAATATAGAATTTAGATTACTAGATATGTGGGGAGATTTATGTTGACCATATATATATTTTAGTTCCAAGACAGACCACACAGAAAATAATTTACAAAAAAAGCATAGGAATTTCATTATCAGTTCCAAAACACTCAGCTCCTAATGCTGCCTGTCTGTGGTGTAAAGGATTTCTACATACTTTCTGTCCCACCGGAGTTTATAGGCTAAATAAGTCCTTACAAGTCCAGTTCTGAAACTGCAGAATGGAATACTCAAGAGGGAATATAATTTGCTTCTAAAAATACCTACACTTTTAAAATAGAATTAATAAGTGCTGGCAGGGGGTGAAGACTGCTACAATTGAGTCCTGTCAACCAAAAGTTACATACATAGACCTGATTCTTTGTGTCACTGCAATTTCTGAAGAATTCAGACAAGCAGCAGCAGCACAGGGCAGTGATTCTCCAGATTGATGGCCAGTGTCATAACTACTCTCAAGAAGGTCCCTGCTTATCTCCCACCTTCCCATTCATATTATAGCAGGTCCTTTTAACATTAAAGACCAAGAGCAGCCCAGCAATTACATTTTAAAATCTTTTTAAATAGCACCACTTAACCCTGAAGAGACAGATTGTTTATTCCAAATAACTCATCAGGGTCACAGTGTCAGTAGTATTCTTGATTTGCAAAACTGAAAACACTCCCCATGCCTGAATCTCTTGGTTTTCTCCTGCAATAACAACATTACACAACATCCATCTGGAAGATGTCAGCATGTGACTGCTTGCCTTTGCAACCATGCCCTGATCTGGCAATTGTGGAATCTCTGCAGGTCTTTCAAGGTAACTTTATTGCATGATGACCAGTTCTTTAATAAGCCTACCAGATTCTTATAATTACAGAGGCTTCTGTGTAAATGATGATTTGCGTGCCATCTGCTGCCTAACAACAGCAGGTACTGCCTCCCTGTACTATGCAGACATAGTGTATGCCAGATGCAAATACACTATGAACCTGAGTGGGTCTTTCTTACCAGAGTGAGGAAAGGAGCAGGTGAAGATGAAGACTGACAGTTAAAAATCCCTGTTCAAGATAAGACTAACTATAGATTTGTCAAATAAGCAGGAAAGCTAAGGAAGTAATCTACATTAACAAACTCTGTTAAGCCCAAAAAGGTCACCACATAGGACAAGAATCAAGAAGCATTGGGCTGTGATCCCCGGTACAAAAAAAAAAAAAAAACTAATGGGCCAGGGATTTAGCTTAGTGATGCTGCTGCCTGCCTCACAAGCAAAAGGTCCTGAGTTGGATCCCCGGTATCAAAAAAATAAAATAAATAAATAAGCACTGAGTGTTTGACACCACAGCTCAGAAAGCAAACATGCATGGGGCTGGAGTATGGCAGCACTTTGTACCTTTCAGCCCTGAGCGGATGACAGTAGGAGACAAGTCATCGTAGTTGTTCATTAAGCTGATGTCTCCCGAGGTGAAGCTGACAGTGAGCAGAGGCTTGATATTCTGTACTGGGATGGGGTACGCTGCAGGACCATCTGTGGAAACACAAGCCTGGAGTAAAAAGTTGGCAACAAGTACAAAACCCAATCCAGGTGCCCAATGCTGCGCTTTTGAATAATGCCTTAAAAACTGCCTGATATTGTAAAGTCCATTTAGGATTGAGTTGTAACCAAATTGCACCATCTGGGAGTCACATAGGCCACTAGTGCGGCACTAACACAGACCTCTAGAATGAGGACACAAAGTATATATCCCCAGAGGCAACTGTATGGTGATGAGAACAGTATGATAGGTTTACTAACTTGTATGTTAGTTAATGTGTTGAGTTTTTTTTTTCTCATTGAGTTTATTGGTACATTTTAGGTATACAGTACAGTTACATTCATTATTGGAATCTTGCACCTTTACATGACAGGTCTTGGTTCTCATTTTTTTCCCCTTAATGTGTTGAGTTTCTAATGATGTATAAACACAGATTATTTTAATGTCATGAAACTCACAAGGATGGTAGAAGGAGGGATAAAAATGCCTTCTTAATTCTGGTCCAACACACAGAGAAAAATTGCTTTCATTACTAAATGCCCTTTCACTGAATGTTACAGGTAATAAGTAGCACAGCAGCTACCATCAGTTCCTTAAGTTGTTACCATAAAAGACCAGATTTGGGGAGAAGAATGAAATAGGGTACATCCCATAAAGCACTTTGCTACCTCCACAATGCACGGCCAATTTAAAAAGACAATCTTGCTTCCAAAGGAGTACTCATGCACAATGGGCTGTGGACTGGCTCTTCTATTTGTTGTTTGAGAAAGTGTAAGTCCCACTACACACCTGGTGAGTGCATCAAGGCTCTTTCAGAAGGCTTCTGTAGGTGTTGCAGCCACGCTCAGCTCATCTCCAGCAGCCATCTAGGGCAGTCAACCTGATACTCATAGGAAAATCCCAATCTCTTGCTTCACACTAAGATAATGCATTGCACCTTCCTTTCTGCTCAAATTCTCTAGGCCACCAAGAATACCACACAACTGAAAGGTGAGTATCAATCATCTTCTAAAACACTCCACCAATTCTGAGAAAGGCAACTGGTTACAAGAGCATTAGGACTGACTGCTGTCTTCAACCAACTCTAGATTTGCTCTATAAACTCAGTTTCTACACTTTGTTTCTCCTGGTAATAAAGGATGAGTGAATCTGGATTCAAATTTACTGCAGAGGAGTTCTGTTTTAAAAGTATGCACTGCATGTTACAAAGATACTGACTTTATTACTCTGAGGATGTAGAAATATGACCAACACTTCATTCAAGGCTGTTGCCCAATAATGAAAGGGATAGTTACCTTCTAAATTGATTTATGGATGCTAGAAACTCTCTCTACTGCCAATCTTTATTTTTTTCTTGTGGAAACCATATCTTTGTCCACACACACATTCACACATATATGCATGTTACTGGAAAGTACAATATCTCTATCTGTGACAAGAGAAAAAAAGCAAGTACAAGTGAAAACAGGAACTGATGGTGGTAGGAGACCAGCCCTGAAACAGCTTTTCATAGGATGATGTGTCCCCAAACAACAATGAAAGCCAGAAACTGTCCAGGGTATACCCTCCAACTCAGGGGCATGCAGCCATGGAAGCACAGCTGTGCTGGCCAAGGACAGAAACCTGCAATGATGTGACCACTTATAATCAAGGAGTCATTCCCTTCTACAAAATCATGACACATTTTTCTAAAAGACAAAACTGAAGAGGTGTGTGCAAGAGAAGGAATATTGGTGAAGGGCCAATGCAAAGCCCTAACAAAGGCTAGCTTTCTATCAATGGCTTCCCTTTGTGTCATTTTTTGGGTCTCTTACTCATTTGAGAGAGAAAACACACTGCTGGGAGTGAAGGGTGGTACTTGAAATGATCCCCACCAACATTATCTAACACCATAGTGAAGCTTGTAGAGGGGTGATGGATCTTTCTGATCTGAAACGGGGAAGAGCTTCTGCCTGAGTCAAGAGGACAGACAAGGACATGGAATACCTGTCCCAGATGCTAGCCTTTGGTGGGCAGAACTAATCTCATTCTCATACAACTTAAAACTATAGGCTTTAATACCATTAGAGATGTGGCTGGCTACACCATATATTATGTTTCTCATGTTCAGGTCTCGTTATTCTTGCTAAGCAGCTAAGTCCCATAATACCTCAGGGACACAGGAACAGCTGTATCTCATTTTATATCCAGGAAAACCTAAGCCCATGAAGCACAATCAGCTCCACCAGTGATATGGAGGAAAGGGATAGCAGAGAAGAGTCACATCAAGAAGAGAGATTATTAAGTCAGTCTTGCCTTGCATTGCAATTCTAAGTCTTCCTAGTAAGTCCCATACCCTTCCTTCTCTAAATTGGTTTGTTCTTCAATATTCTTATGTTCCCTTCTTTTAGATGACAAAGAAAGTGAGGGGCCAGAGAGTTGGGTACCTTGGGGAGGGGAATAGTCATCTGAGTCTGTGTCACTCTCGCTGCTGTCTTCCACCAGGAAGATAGGGTAGTTCCAGGACATGCTGAGGATTCCGTCGAACTGGTGCAAGAGGACATGGGCCAGCATCCTGCCGTGGCAGTCCATAACAATCACCTGCCCATCAGCCGTGCCAAACAGCACCTGCAACCAAGGACCAGGACCCTTGACTGAGTGAAAGTACTATAGTTTCTGTCAAGCCTCACTTGCCTCAATTTGTTTTAGAAGGACAAATACATTTAGAACTAAAAAAACAAAAATTAAAAAACCGTTACAAGTAACTGAGAGGTGACACAAAATATTAAGCAGTAGAGACTTAGCTATCAGTGAAGAATTTTAGACATATATGAATTTTAGACTTCTAACATTGATCTGCAACTAATAACAAAGAATATATTACATTGTATGGGTATTTCTAAATTGTGCATGCAAAATCTGCTTCATTTTTGTGGGTTTTCAAATTTTTTTGGTTGGAGAGGGGTTAAGAAAAGACAACATTCTTTTACTTTTCTAAAAAATGACACAGTAGATTTGTTGTTGTAATTTTCTCAAATTTAGAAGAGAATGTTTGACAAAGAGAAAACATATCTGGTAATGCAAGCATGCTATCTAACCATACTTGGAAAACAAGATTTTCCTGGAGCTTTATTTCTAACATTTACTGAAAATCCTATTGGCATTAATGAGTTAATGATTATTGCAATGATGTATGAATGAGATTGATAACGTTCACCAAATGTTTGCTGATGCACGATGCTAAAGGGTTTACCTCATTAACTCTCAAAAAAGCAGGTACTAGTGTTACAGGAATGAACCTTTGATGGGTTTGATGTTTCAGTGTGCTAAAGCAATCATGGGAACTTATTTGTATTACCTGATCTTGGAATATACTCAGGCACATGGTGGGGTAGTGCAGGCAGGCACACACACAGAAGCTAGAAAAGCTTCAGGGAAGAAGACTGCATGAGTCAGTCCTCTCCCTGAGGACAGCATGGGGTACCTCACAGCTTCTTCACAGATCATTTGACATGAGTGTGTCACCAGCTGGATGTTCAGATATGAAGTTGGGACCCAGAGAAACAGGATCTGCACTGTCTTCTTTGTGTGAGTTGCTGAAATTTTTTGCATCTATATAAAAAATTCTGTACTTTTGTGTCTAATGGAATTTGTATATCCATCAACATCTCACTGTGGCAACCATATAATTTTCTCCATTTTACAGACACAACTTAGAAGTGGTCAAATAAGCTAACAAAGCCCCAAAGTGGTCATCAAGCCAGGGCTGTCTGACTAGAAAGGCTAGATTTTACATACAGGGGAAATTATCTATAGGTTTTTGTCCTTGTTTCTTTTTGCTCTTGAGATTTTGATGTTAAGCTCACAGGGGGCAGACTGTGCATAGCTGAATCCCTGGCATCTGACTAAACTTTTTTTTTTTGAGACAGGGTCTCATTATGTAGTTCAGACTGCTCTGGAACTCAACTCTATAGCCTAGGCTGGTCTCGAACTCACAGCAATCCTCCTGCCTCAGCCTCCCGAGTGCTGGGATTACCGGTGTGCACCACCATGCCTGGCTTTGACTGAACTTTTGAGTACACATGGGCACTCACCGAATATTTGCAAAATGAATGAACTAATATAAATGATAAAAGGCAACTTTAGAACATAAATGCTGGATGGCTGAGCTAGATTAATTGCAAGACCAAATATATTTCACTTAACTAGTAAAAGCTCATGGAATTTAGAGCTGTTTTAGAATAAACCACTCATCAAATATTTATTTATATATGATTTGTATTTTAGTGAATGAACAATTTAAAAAGATTGAAACAGTGGGGCATGGTGGTGCATGCCTGTAATCCTAGCACTCCGAGAAGCTAAGGCAGGATGATCACAAGTTCAAGCCTAGCCTGACAACTTAGGAAGATCCTGTCTCAAATACAAAAAACAAACAAAAATCACCAAACAACACCACCCCCCTTAAAAAACCCAAAAACAAAAGGGCTGGGTTGTGGCTCAGTGCAAAAGCCTTGGGTTCAGCCCCTAGGACCAAAAATATAAAATAAAATAAAATTTAACTTAATTACCCAGAGGCAGTGATGAATTCATTAACACATGCTACTTAAAGGAAAAACAGACAAAACTACTTAGGAACATAGTAAACTTCATTTTAGAAAAAGTCGAAATTTTGCTGTCAACAACAAAAAATAAGTATCTCATGGCAAGGGTACCAAGCTCTCACACACCAGAGGCACAGGGATGGGGACTTAGAAATGTGGCTCAGACCTGTTGAATTCAGTCCTTAAAGAGGCAGGTGTTTAATGTTCTTGGTGAACAGTTTTAAGCTGTGATATGTCTTGTTATAACTTTAACTGAGATGCACAATTTACACATTTCAAGATAAAGAGGTGTGGGAATTCCAATGAGATACTAAGCTATGGGTGATGTGCATGGAGCAGGCTTTTCTTCTCCCCCATTGCATATTTACTCATTTGTTCACTTTTTCTGAAAGTAGGTAGGTCTCTTCCTGCCAGGTGAAGAGGTTATAAGACTTTATGTAACTCATTAGTTTGATAGCAAACACTAACTTCTCCCTAGTGTGTAGGTTTTCCTATCACCCTAGTCTTCCCATCAGTACCTTTATTATTATTCTCCCATCTTTACCATGTGACTTTGAAATTTCTGTCTGATTCTCAGGTTAGCCTATAATCTTTGGCAGTAACAGACTGCTATGAACTGAATATTTATATCTCACACACACACACACACCCCAGGCATACACTGTATTTGGAGGTGGGGCCTTTGGGAAGTGATTAGGTTTCAAAGATGTCATGAGGGAGGGGGCCTCCATAATGGGATTAGTGCCTTTGAAAGAGGGAGAGAAACCTGAGCTTGCATGCTTTCTCTCTGTACTGCTGACTCTTGAGAAAAGGCCATGTGAGGGTAAAGGTAAAAGGAAACCACTTACAAGCAGAAAGGGAAACTATAGGAACTTAATTGTCAGTACCTTAGTCTTGAGCTTTCCAGCCTCCAGAACTATGAGAAACCATGTGTGCTATTATCCATGGCATTCTCTTACAGTAGCCAAGCTGAAGCCAGAACCATTTGAACTTTGCACACCATTATCTCCCTAGGACCTGTCATCATGTGTGAAGTCCAAGGAAGTGTTTGTGATGGGAGGAAGGACTTGCTTCTGCATACAGTAACACACTTGCATTTTAGAGAACAAACAGATGCCACACAATAGAACAGACATATAATCCTGAATAAAAGATTTAATAAATTCTTAGTGTTCAGTATCACACAAAACCAAAACAGGACCAAGAAACTAGCCCTTAAGTCCCCCAACCTGAATCTGTATCAACTACAGGTCCCTTGGGAACTCAGTCCACTATTAAGACAGGATAAAAGGAAAAAAGAAATACTCATAGTCTAATTTTCAGCTGTGATGGAGGAAGCTTCTCTGTTAGAACAAGTATGTCACAGATAACTAAAGCTTACAGAATCAAAGGATTTTAAGACAACCAAACAGAAAGTCTCATTATAATGAATATACACGTGTCAAAGGCATCAATTTCTCCTGCTTCCACTCCCTAAACCTGGATGATTACTAAGTGTGCTCAAGATAGGATGATGCCAATGGCTCCTTTCCAGGTGCGGCCTTCCTTTCTAGGATTCTCCCTGTCTTGCTACTAAGGGCTAGACCTTCTTTTTTGAAGTCCACGTTCATGCTGTCTCACTGTCCCATCCATACATAAGCATCTTCCAAGTATCTCCCTGAGCTCACCAATCCAACTGTCTAACCTGGCATCTCCCCAGGATATGCTAAAGCCTGTCCAGGTCAACATAAAACGCAGCAAAGACTGGCTTGTATTTTATTCCAATGTCTAACATAGTCTGTGTATGTAACAGGTACTCAGAAATCTCATGTGAGGGATTTGGGGACCAAACACATGCAATTACTCACTTTAACCATGTCTGCCGCCCAGTAAACTAAGCTCATTGAGGGCAGGTGCCTGAGTTTTCTTAGAAATAAAAGAGTAATTCCTGCTTATCATTTTGCTTTTGCTCTCCCACCTCCCCAGTAGTAGGAAATGGACCCAAATCCCTTTTGTAACAAACACACTCCCAGTCTTTAAATTTTTTTTTATCTTAAAATAGGATGTTGTTAAGTCCCTACACTGCCCAGGAAGGACTCAAACTTGAAATCCTCCTGACTCAGTCTCCCAGAGTGCTGGGATTATAGGTGTGAATGTCCACACCTGGCTTCCTTTCTTCTTTAAACCAGAAATGCATGCTCGAATCCTCCTATAAAACTGGCTGCCAAAACATTGTCAATAATGCTTTATATATATTTCTGTCCTGTTTTCCTGTTTCCTCTGGTGGCTTGTAAGCTTCAAGTAAGTGAAGGTACAATGTTCCCTCTATGATATATACACCAAGACCAATAAACTGGCAGAGACCCGTCAGACCATAATAGTTCAATAGTATGTTTAATTTTTTTTGTGTTTATTGCCTTTCCAGACTTGAATACACTTGCAACGCAGTTAAAAGCAACACAATTATGATATCTATATATAATTTCTTCATTTCAATATAATCCATGTTGAACTATTTCTAGATTCAATTATCCTTAAATAAACAATTATCAGCAAAAACAATTATTATCAGTTGTTATCAGAACAAAGCCACAAAGAGGGATGAGAGGATCTTAAATCATTCCAAAGATTTTGCTTTAGAAGCAGTGATATGTCATCAATATCTTCATCTTTAAACATGAGTCTCATCTAAATTCTTAAATGAAAGATACGAAACTATGGCAGAGATGGAAAAGAAATTTTATTTTTTCATGGCTAGCTGAAACAGGACTGCCCATGTATATAACATACATCATTATGCTAAATTTGCCCAAGGACTTTCATGTTTCCCTGTTTCGTAAGCCTTTTTTTGAAAGGCAGTGGAGCACTCAGCTAGAGGTAAATCTTGCTGGAAAGTTAAAGCAGTAACCAAGATAGAGATTAGGGACTGCAACATTCCCATCACTGCTACATGGGCTCTGTCTTTGCATGTCCCTGCAGCCTACAGAGCAAGCCCAGGCATGTCAGCATGCCTCACTGCTCCAAGACTATGGCTCAGGCTATGGCCCTGCTTTCTCCTCCAGCCTGTCTTGTCTTCACTGCTTTAAACCTGTGAGTATGGCAGCAAAGCACTCCTTGTGGTGCATGAGATAGCACTGTGGCTATCCTATACTCTGCTGCATGTCACATGCCTGGCTTATGCTACACACCATCACTCAGACTTGGCTCAGGGTCTGTCTGCCCCTCCATCTATGCCCCACTGTGCACTGCCAGGCACAGTAGTGGAATGCTGACAGGCCTGTCTCCTCCACTAATCCATGAGCACCCCAAAGGAGGGAACTATGTCTCACTCATTCTGCCATTGCCAGTGGGACTCACACCTGTCACACCAAGTGTGTGATCTGCTGGGGACACTGGCTGGCATAGTTCACTAGGGGACTATGAGGTGAGCTTCACAGATGGCACACAGGCTCTATCCCTCTCTAGGCAAGGGAAGAATGTGAAGCCAAGACTTTTGCTGACATTTTTAAGTATTTTCAGATCTGTTCCCTCATCTGATCATTACAAAAGCCCTGGTAACTAGGTAGGAAATAATTTACATTCACACCCATTATCCCAGAGGAGGAAACCAATGCAGGAAAAGTCAGGTGCCTTGCAAAAGATCACTTCATGGGCTTCGCTCTGAGGAGAAGACTCTAGGAATAATAAAACTCTTATCAGGATAAAACTTCATAATAAATCTAAATGTTTCCTACACATACACACAGAGAAACCTGGGTGGGGAGCCAGGGAAGAAATGGAGTTGAAAATATCTTTTCATAAATTTAGTAACATTAAGTTTGAGAAAAAAATTTTTACTATTAAAAATTTTTTAAAGTGGCTCAAAAACAAAATTAATGGTTCCATACTACACTGCCTTCCTTTAGCAATATAAAATTTATATCTGTATGAAATTTTTTGGCATTTTATGGATCCTGCTATACTTGGAAAATAAATTTCATGTTTACAAAAACTTTAGTCAATCCTTATATTTCAAATATTATCAATATAATTTTATGGTGTTATATTATTTTATCATGAAAATCAAACAGGCACAATAAAGAAAAATTTGAAATTACATTTTAGAAAATGAACCAGAATCGCTCTGGCTTTTTGGCTAAGATCAAGTGTAGAAAATTAAACAGAGGCTCATCACCATAAAATAAGTATTTACAGCATTTTGATGCACTTCTTTCTAATTGTTTTTACATGGATGGGTCTTTCCTTGGGGTGTAGGAGTGTTGTTTCATGATGTGGCAACATATCACATGTACTGCTTCATATTCTGATTTCTTTAATACTCTAAAAGCTCTTTCAGATTATAACATCATCTTCATAATCAAAATCTACGTAACTTATTGAGTTACTGTATCCTTTTTAAGTGGTTCTGCTACTCTATATAATCATTCTCCTTTTCATCAAGAAGGCTATTTATTGCAAAATTTTACTATCATTGATAATGCTTTAATGATTATAACTTTTCACCACTTGTTTCTTTCAGATAAATTCCCAAAGTATGTTACAAAAGTGGACAATCTGTAAGCCGTATGACATATTCTGCCAAATTAATTCCCCAAAGATCTTAATGCATATTACCAGCAATGAATTGAGAAGGCTTAGTTGTTCATACTCATCAAAAATCAGCAAAATGTTCATATCATTTTACTTTTTGCTAATAAATGAAAAGTATACCCTTAGTGCACTAATTTCATATTTTCCCCAAAGAATGAAAACTTTTCTATGATTACTAACTAGTTGACTTCCTCTTTTGTAGATTAGTTATATCCATTATCTATTTATCTATTGTCTATTTATGTGATTTTTAAAACAAATTAATATGAACATTTTATATAATTAAAATGTTAATATTTAACTTTTACCTGGACAGTTTTGTTGTTTGTGTCCTTTAAGATTTTTTTGTTTGGTCTGGTGAGGGACCTCAAACCCAGGGCCTTTGCACTGAGCTACATTTCCAGCCCTTTTTTTGAGACAGGGTCTCCCTAAGTGGCTAAGTTATGCAGGCTGGGCTTGAACTTGTGTTGATCTTGCCTCAGCTTCCCAAAGCACTGAGATCATAGGTGTAAGCCACCACACTGTTTCTTTTGTGATTCTTGTTTGTTTTGGTACCTGGGATCAAACTCGGGTCTTTGCGCTTGCAAAGCAGGCACACGAACCACTGAGCTAGATCCCCAGCTCTTTTGTGATTCTTTAAGAGGCTTTTGCACCAGCTTCCTTTCTTCTGCACTGTTTTTCTTCTCAGCTTCCATAATTTTAATATTATACACATTGAGAGGCATTACCTGTTGGTCATCAGGAGTCCATATGCCGCATGTGATTTGACTTTCCAAGTTGATCTCAGATGACCAGTGTCTTTGTCCGCTGACAGAACCAACCAGGACAAACCCATTGCGATATGAAATAAGTGCTTGAGTCCCATCATGGCTCCACGTGAAATCACTCACCTCCAAAACACATAGAAAGAAGAGGAGTCAATTTATAATCTGAAAGGGGAAACACTTTTCAAAGCCTAAATAAGGTCATTAAGTTAACCTTTTGGCTAAGATCAAGATAACTTAAAGAAAACAATATAAAAGACATTTGAAAAACCACAATAAAAATGACTGAAATGAAATATAGTGTTAGCACTATTATACATGTAAATGTCCTTTAAATTTATTCTTTCCAAGAGCTATTTAACCATCTATTCATAAGTTTCCAAAAATGTATGGGTTTCTTAAATTTCTCTTTTGCTGTTAACTTCTAATCCAGTCTCATTGTGTCCAGAGATTAGGGCCTACAATCATAATACTTGCTACTGAAAATTTGCTAAGAATTTTTTTAATGTCTAGATTGGGGACAGGCAAACTACAGCTCATGGGCCAAATATGGCCTGTCATCTATTTTTGTATCTTACAAATTAAGAATGGTTGTAAGTGGTTGAGAGGGAAAAAATCAACAGTGCATGGAATTTTGCTATTTATAAAATTATATGTAGCTCAAATTTTAATGTCTATAAAGTTAATTTGACCATTTTTTAAAATGTATTTTGCTCTTCTTATATAATATATACATTAACATATTTGATTTTGGCTCCTGATTCACAAAACATACAGTATTTATTATCTGCCTCTTCACAAAAAGGTCTGCAGAATCTTATCCAGGAACATGATCTATTTTTTTTTTATCTTATTGAGTTTATTGGTACTTTTTAAGTATACAGTACAGTTACATTCATCATTGGGATCTTGTACCTTTACATGACAGATCTTGGTTCTCATTTTTTTCCCCATGCCCCTGCCCTTCCTTCAGCCCCTCCATGCTGTCCTACTTTGTTTCCATTTTTCCTTTTCTCATATCATGATCTATTTTTGTTAAGTGGGAAAATGCATATTCTCTAATGAGTAGATACAGAATCTATCTGTACATATATTTTAGGTCAACTTTCATAATTTTGCTGCTTACTGCTCTAATGAGTATGTCAATAAATTTATCATTTTTTCCTTTAAGTTTTATCAGTTTCCTTAAAATATTCTGAAGGTATTTTTTGATAAAGCATACATATTAAAATATAGCACATTACTATCTGGTAAGTGAATAATTTCTGTCTTTAAATTATTTTGATACTAATATAGCTGTAACAGCTTTATTTTCCCCTTATATTTACCAGATATATCTTTTTTCATACTTTTATTTTAAACTTGTGTATGTCCTTAAGGTTGTCTGTTTTTTTTGAGACAAGGTCTCACTATGTAGTTCAGGCTGACTTTGTATTCACTTATGGCCTCAGATGGCCTCAAACTCGCCACAATCCTCCTGCTTCAGCCTCCCAAGTGCTGGAGTTACAGGCATGCATCATGATGCCCAGCTGTCCTTAAATTCTAAATGTGGTTCTTAATAGTCTATATTGAGATTTTTAAAACTATAAAGTTAAACTTTATTTTTTGTTGGTGAATTTAGTCCACTTACATTTATTCTAATTAATGGGGTTTTGGGGGGGTTCTATGTCTACCTTATCTTTTCAGTTTATACCACTTTTTGTGTCTTTTAAATATTTTCTAACAAAAAACTACCATCTATAATATTTATTGTTGCTTATAATTGGAAATACTCAACTTTATTTAAAATTTGTGATACTGCCAGACATATCACCTTTTCTTTCTTTCTTTTTTTTTTTTTTTTTTTT